GTTCAACACAGCAGATCATCATTTGTTGTTATTGAAGTGTGTATAAAACAGTTGTGCAGCCAAAAGAACATGGCACTATAGGCCCAGTTTTGCAAACCCGTCCATACACCTGCAGAGCTCCGTACTGGTCTTGTGTCAAATTTAATTTCCTCCTTCAAATAGCGTTTCCCTATGCAGGTTGACACTCACTGTAAGCATCATCACATACAGTTATGGCAACTAAATGTATGAATAGGTGTCATTTTTTCTTTAGCTGTTTGCTGTTTGCCTCTCCAGGTTAGCTGAGGAGATGAACTTGCCCTCGCTTCCGGAGATGCTGTTCGGGGACAACGTCCTGCGCATCCAGCACACAGACGGCTACGGCATCGAATTCAACGCCATCGATGCCCTGAGGAGAGTCAACAACATGGAGGACGCCGTCAAGGTGGCCTGTGCACAGGAGTGGCAGGAGAGCAGGCAAGACGAGCGTCCCAGCTGGAGGGTTGTTTGGTTAACGTGTGATGTGTTGTTGTTTTTTCTGATTCGGTAATCAAAGGCAACAATCTGTGGCCTTTTCACCTGTTCTCAAAATACCGTTGGGAGTTCTCAAGCAGTAATGCATACCGTTTAGTTAGTTGGTTTGGTTCCAGATTGTGATTTGTCATTATCATCTGCGCCAGGAGAATCGTGCGATTGCTTGTGTGTGTGTGTGAGTGAGTGAGTGAGTGAGTGTGCATCCCCGCGTCTGTCCACGACTAATCTCGCATTCTGAGTTCATTCAAACTGCATGATATTTCGAGTTGCTATGCTTGGTGACAGCTTGGTGACAGCTTGGTGAGCTTAATTTGGTTTTTGGCAAGATATTATAAAGTGTATTAAAGCACGACTTTGAGCCGGTTGACTACGTACATCCTCGCTTGTTTTTGAGTTTGAATGAAGCGTGTCCTTATTGGTGTCTAGACGAGGGGTTAGCCAGTTGTAAGTTGTATTCATTCAATCACACGATACAGCAGAGGTTGTTGCAGACACACCCGTCTGAGATCTGCACTCTACTGACTGCACCTTTCTCGTTAATGAAAGAGATTGGCTCTCATCTTAGAGCAGTACATGTATGATGTAAAAAACAATGTTGATTCAAAAGGAAATAATAAAAGACAACAGGATGAGAATATAGTAGCCAAATGTCTGAAACAACAGGACATCCCATGTATCACACGCAGGGATGTTTCAGAACAACTTAAAGAAGGAAAACTCTCCTTTCTGGAGTGTTGTGTTGAAAAATGATTCATAGAAACAATGCCACCTGCGTAGTGATCAATAATCTCTGTGATCTCCTTCCAGAGCTGATTCTGAACACTCCAAAGAGGTGGTGAGACCTTACGACTGGACATACACCACGGACTACAGAGGCACCCTCATAGGGGAGAGCTTGCAGATGAAGGTGGGTCTTTTTTTCAGGGATGGGTTGTAACAGTTTCATCCACACCTTTCTGTTACACGTTACCTGTGTTTTCACCTCTACCTGTTGTTCATGTGAAGGCGACCAAGACGGCGGAACGGATCGACATGGAGAAGCTGAAAGCCCGGGAACAGATCATGTTCTTCGACGAGGTGCTGCTGTTCGAGGACGAGCTGCACGACCACGGCGTCTCAATGATCAGCGTCAAAATTGTGAGTTGTGAGCATTGGATGCTAAGCAGCCAATGCTAATGATCAAAACGAGGAGCAGATTCAGTCACGTTTGAGAGGACTGTCTGTGTAATCGGTGCGTAATCGACCGAGGCAGCAGCTCACGTTGAATTTTAAGTAACTTTTAAGTAACTTTAATGTCGCTGTGTGTCTGATGCAGAGGGTGATGCCCACCAGTTTTTTCCTGTTGCTGCGCTTCTTCCTACGAGTGGACGGAGTGCTGATTCGAATAAATGACACGCGACTGTATCACGAGGCAAGTTGTTTGCCTCCAGGCAGGACGAAATGTACAGTGTGTGGTTTTACAAATGAGCGAGTCATGTGATGTGAATGTTGTCTGAAGTTATCCGCGCTGCTGTTTTTGGTTCCAGGCCGGAAAGGACTTCATGCTGCGAGAGTTCAGCACGAGGGAAAGCAAAGTAGCAGAGCTGAAGGTGAGCCGTGATGCGCCACGCACCGATAACAAGACACATTTCATGTTTACACCTCAAATTCAAAGATACATATTTTCCCTCTTACCTTTAGTGCTACTTATCAATCTTTCTAAAGATATTATTTATTCCATTAGATCTTACAGGTGTACCTAATAAAGTGGCCACTCACACACGACAGGATTTAGTCTTTTTTTTACATAAAGTCTGTTTTTGTCGTCTCTCTCATGGAAAAATAAGTTAACAAATGCATTTTATCACGGTGGTCTACTCTCCATCACCAATATTTCCATAAAACATTTGTTTATTACCAATGTTTTGCATTTAAAAAAAACAATCCCAACATTACCATTTATTTACACATAAACACACTAAATTCATTGAAATGTACGTAAGAATAGAACATTTATATCATCGACATTTCTATATCACCATGCGTTTGAATACAAACTGTCATTTTGTTTAATGACTATAATTATGCATTAAAGCAGATTGCATTTAAAGCCTCCGTTAGCAGAACGTGCAGTGAAACTCCTGTGATGTACGGCATGTGTTTCTCTTCAGGATGTACCCGCCGCACTGTACACGGATCCTAATGAGATCGCCCAGTATTTAACCCTGAAGCTGACAGAAAGCGAGAGGCTGGAGCTTCCTTTGATGCAGCACGAGACAGCTGTCAACGACGTCCTTCAGTGACCGCCACGCCGACGTGTCCACATCCACGTGTTGCATGAAGAAAATCTAGTCTTAAACCACATTGAACCACAGTAACATAACAACCATTGATTTCCCCTTAAAATACCTGTGTACAGGAATAGTTTTTATATGTGACCGCTAAGATCATGTGTTCTTAAAACTCTCACGACAGTGTCCGTGTGTTCCCAGTGCAGCTCTACGCACTGTAATATCAGAGAAACGTTAACCCCAGTTGGGTCTAGCTTCTGGCTCTGTTCATATTTGAACTGATTTTGTTTTATGAGGCATTTTTTCCACGTGAAAGGCTCGGTAGGGTAGCTGTGTCAATGCTTGTAATATTAGTGCATCAACAGTGTTTGTAGAAAAACAAAAACTACACTAAACAGCACTGTATTTTCTGAAGTCAAAAGTCATCAAAACATGTCTGTAAATATGTCTACTTTATTTTCTACGGTTACTTATGGAAGGTGAACAAGCTTGTTTTCCATTTGCAAGTCGGACACCTCCATAATCTGTGTGAATATGTCTTCAATATGGCCAAATAAATTGTGTTTGTGCAAATGTAGCTAGCTGGTGTTCATGGCGGTTTACTCAGAGGGTTTCTATCCATAATAATCATAAATGATGAATGAACACTCAATGGATAAATGCTGAGTTGTTGACCTTAGTTTAGTTTCACAACATCAGCAGTGACCGTGATGGACTGATGTTGAAATAGGAATTGGGATTTAAACAAAATGGTCGTCTAATTTGAGGGGGGAATTATTGATAATTAGTATTTAAAACGTACCTAGCACATTCCCCCGTGTACAATCAAAAAGAAAAAGGACACAATAATGAGTCCCACTGTTGCACTGGATGACATGTTCATTCATTACCATTAACACACTGTACTGTGATGTAAAATAATCAGCTTTATTTTGTGCACAACCATCTCTCTATATGTACTTACAAAAAGTACGTAAATCACTACAACAGTTCCAGTTCCAGCTGGTTAAGATGCAATCATTCAGGCTCGTGGTTTAGAGATCACTGCTCCGGGGGATCAGGGTTCAATTCCCAACAGTTGTATGGCAGCAGACTTGCTGGTCAGAATAAGGCCCGATCCCAATCTCCACACTCAGACTCACGCACTATAAGTCCATGAGGGTTTAGTTCTGTCCCACTGTCAAATCCTCCAGTGTTTGAGTCTCTATGGCAGACAGTTTGAGCCTTTCATGAACCCTTTCTGTAAATCAGCATTATATGCTGACTTTGCCCAAGGGAATTACCCACAATTCTTGCATGTGCCGTTAAACACGGGGTAACCAGTGGAGGATGTCACATGTGTTCAGCCTGTCATATTACATTTACACAGAAACATTAAGGGTTAAAGACGGAACAAAAAACAACATGAAATCAAGAGAATATTTATTTAGTCATTGAAACTGTTTTGACAAAAACAAGTAAATAGATCATTTGAAATTGCTTCTCATCTTGTGAGGAAAGAGTCTGGAAGACGTTCAAATTAGGAAATGAAAAGTATAAAACAAATACCCACAACTTTTTTGACGTTATCATTGTAACTTGATATTTTGCAGCAAAGTGCTGTCCCATTCATATTTACACCATCTCAAGCCCTCACAGTTTCTCACACTCAACCATTTAACAGGTGACGTCAGTAAGTACCTGAGGGTTGAGGGTTTGAGGCTTCAGGGGGGACATTGGGACTGGTCCTAAGTCTCAGGTGTCCAACAGGAAGTCCAAGTCCTGAAACCTGCACTCTGACTGTTAACATAACAAACTGCACCCTGATATCATAGAGCATGCAAGAGGAGGAAATGACCCAAAACTCCAACCCCAGCATCATAAACAAAGTAAAGACGGGTTATTTTAAACTGTCATGTCATTTGGCCCATAGTAGTTGAAAGAAAAATGTTAACTTGAGATGAACATTTTTCAAATAAATGTGTCAGAAACGTTTTTTTAAATGATATTAGACAATGTGATGGAAGCCATTACTAAAGTGAACTGTGTAAAATGCTGTAGTGAAGGAATAAACTTTGTAAATAAAGTATTTTCTGGGAGAAAAAAATGCAGCCATTCCACAAAAGGAAACGGGCAGTAATCCAATATGGCGCACAATGGCCTCTCACTGCGGTCCAATCCGCTCTCTCTTCTCCTGACAGCTGGCCAATAGCAGCGCCCGCATCGGGCTGAAAACTATTCAACATGGAGACAACAGTTGAAAAGCTCGAGGCGATGGTAAGCCCAGTGTAAAGCTGTCCTATTTTCTGCCATATTCATCCTCAGATCATGTTTTTGTACCCTTGTCGAAGGATTCCACAGACATTAGCAGCTCATTAATTATGGACGAGTTATTCATCCTATCACAGGGAGAGCAGCCAGCTCATGATTTCCTCTTTGCATTGATAAGCAATTCAAACTCCTGTGCGCCTTTCGGCAGGCCTGTCTACGTAACGTTACCGTAAATATTACCACCGGGTTTATATCCCTCGAGCTTATGTATCTATTAATATTATAAACAGCGACGACTACGTCCGGCCAGTTCAGACGTTACGTTCTGCTCTCTAGAAAGCCGCTTCCTGCTTTCCTCCCAATGTAATAACATGGCCCCCGTTAAAACATGTCCCTTCTGTCAAGTATTCAGGTAATGTAGCATTTTAGTCGTCGGTCACCATCGCTGGGCCACAGTTCAGCAGGACGCAGACACTCGGTAACGTTAGGTGGACGATAGTCTTCGCTACAGCTCGAACATGTTTCCGTGTTGTTTTAGACCCAAAAGTCAATTGGTTTATTCCAGACATCCGTTTTCTACACGAACGCCCGCAGGTTCCTCCTCTGTACGTGTTTAATAGGAGGACAGCTGTATCTGGAGTGAGCAGCTGACATGAATTGTATCCGAAGAGAGCCGTTATAAAACGGGTCCACTGACTAGCTGTTTCTTCTAGAGCTTTCTGCAGCATCCCACTTCAAATCCATGACACAAACGGACTCTAAGCAGGTTTTTCAGTATGTGGCGGTGTTCACGCTAGAAAAGATCCAAAACACAGTTCAGTGGTAGTGTCCAGCAGCTGTTGAGACCTTTCACTCAAACCCACACAGGTGTACCTCATTGGTGGCACTAAAGGAACTGATTTAGAGTCGATGCATGTAGAATATTTGACTAGATAAGTTAAAACCCTTTCCTCACTGGCAGGGGTTCAGCAAAGTCACCAGGGTTTATCCTCTGGGGACAATAACTGTCCCAACATTACGCCTCGTTCTATTTGACACGGTGAGACACCTCACAATGACTGCAGCTGAGCTGGTGTGCTGTCTGTCCAGTGCCCCTTTTATGTTGTACTACTGGTGACCCTGCTAGAAAAAGCAGTGCAACGTTAAAAGGGCATTGGCCAGGAATGGTCGGAAGCGACGGGACGCGCTTCCACACTCAGAAGCTGCGGCTGTTGGCAGGTGCTCTGACTTCATTGCACTACTGTATCAAGACAGCTAGCAGTGCAATAGTATTGTCAAAGCATCTGAAAACGGCAGAGACCAGCTAATGAATTAATTAGTAAAGGCAAATAATAGAAGAGCTAGAACAGTTTGGTAAGTTCTGAATATGACATCACTTTACTGTAATCCAGCCTTTAAAACACTTGTGCCATTTTACTGTATCGCATTTCCTGCTTCAAAACTCCTCTTTCTTTATCCACAGACGGTGGTTGTGTTATTCTCATTTTTAATACTTTAACAAAAAGCCAGCCCTTCTTGTGAGCAGATGGAAGCCGGGTCAGTCTGAACGTAACGATGAGTGTCTTTGCAGTTCCTGAAGTCCGAGGCCGACCTGGAGTACATCGAGAGGCGGCTGAAGCTGGACTTCATCAAAGACGCAGCAGAGAATGGATGTCCCGCTGAGGTGATAGCTCAAATACTATCTGTTCTTTTACCATTACACCTTCACACAGCTAAAGACGTAGCTACCGTCGTTTAGATGCAATATATATGGATTATATATGGATTATGGTGGCTGATAACCTCCACTGTAAACACAGTTCACTCAGTGCTCTTCCATTCATGTTTAGAAAACACGTCATGTTAAGTCACTTGTGGGGTTTCTCCCCATTTCTCCTCCAAATGTAATTGTACTTTTTTTTTTTTTCATGCATTAAGAGACAATAATGCGACACAAGACAAAAAAACATTAGTAAATGACTGGAGAACAGGTAACAGAACAAAACCAACCAGAGCATATAGAAGCTAATCAGAGTAAAATAAGACGCATAGAACAATAAATGGAGGAGAAGAAAGAAAAGTTTTAAATAAAAGTTTTTCATAATAATGATGATAATAATAAAGATGTTCCTTATCACTATTAGTTTTGGAAATCCCACATCTTGGGATGGGGTCTTGGAGTCCAAACGGGCCAAATGACCGACTCTGTGCCCGCAGGAGAACCCGGCGGTGATGCTGGAGAATCTGAGGGCCATCAAGGCCAAGCACGCGGCGCTGTGCTCGCAGGTGAAGGAGATCGCGGCGGCGCAGAAAGAATCCATGGACTCCATCAGAAACAACCTGGGCAGTGCCATGGAGCTGGTGCAGCGCTTCCAGCAGACTACTGACGTGGAGGTGGTTTCATGTTGTAAAGCCTTTGAGAAGTAGATAGTGGTTTGTTGTGATTGCAAAAATATGGGAATCATCTTGTGTGTCTTAATAAAGACATTATGTGACATAAAGGAGGCCTGATGGCTATCTGCCTCTCACTTTAACAGACCTAGAAACCAAAAACATTACAAAATGATCGTAATATACAAGAAATCTGATGTGTCAGGGAAAAACCCCGTGCATGGCATTTCATTCTACACGTATGTTGCAGCTCTGAGTACAAACTGTTGACTGTGTCCTTGTTAACTCGCTGCAGGTTCAGCCACTGACGGAGTCCGAGCGAGAGTCAGCAGAGCTCCTGGGTTTAGCCGTCAGTGAGACCACAACAGAGGTGAGAGGCACGAAGCTGCCACAAACCAATCTGCATGTTGCTGACTTTCGGGACAAAGTCCCACTTCCTCCCAGGAGCGCTGCGTTTTAAATGTAGGGCTTCCAACGATGAATCAGAAAATATGCCTGTATTCAGTAAAGCTCAACAGTTTTATGATTATTTACTGTCTTTGTGCTCCTCCAGGATTTGTGTCTCTCCAGTTCAGCTTAAGAGGAGACTTTGTCAAACAGAGCTGTTTAACTTTATATGTATTACAGTGGCCTGGGCCTTTGTTTCAAACCCCTTTTTTATCACTTGACTCCTTCTGCCTTTTCTTAAGATGTAGGGAAGTTTCTGGAGGATTACCAATACATTTCTCTTAAAGTCCTCCTTGATTTCAGGGCCGATGCATCGTCTGTCACGGCCCAGCAATTTTAGATTGCTACTACTGTAAAGCCTTCCTGTTGTTCGAAGGCAACAATCCTCCCCTTTCTAGTAGATGTTTAAACATCTGTCCAGGAAGTGCTGAAGCTGAACACCAAGCGCGTCCATGCCTCTGGCTATTTTACGAGACTCAGCCATGGTTTTAAATACCAGCTTTTATTTTGAAACATAACTGTTGTATAGAATTTAGATCATATTTTTTTTCTGTTGGATTTGTTCGTCGGGATTCTATGATTTGGGGAAACCTACGGCCTTAAGCAACCTAAGCAATGTGGACTCATTGACTCGGTATAATGTGACAGCTAATGTGCTAATTTAAAGATGGATGTGGCTCAGCACCAGACCAGACCTGCTCCACAATCAGCAGCCTTAAGTCACGGCAAAGCAACAGTCTGTCCATATTGCGTTGTGGTCACATGATGATTTCTGCTGTTTCTTTGTTCTTTGTCTTTCAGGCTCCTCCTCCTGGAGCAGCTTCTGAGCACCAGCAGTCACTGAGTGAGTCCGTTGGTTCGTCCACCACTGTAGTCCAGACTGAAATATTGGTTATTGGTTAAGATGTGGTTCTGGTGTTATTGGGGGGGAAACGGTATTGACACCGGCCTGGAGCGAATGTTTGCTGAATCTCTGGAAAAAAAAAAAAAAGTAAGAGAAAGTTAAGATAAGAATACCAACATGCTCTTCCATGAGATCCATGGAGTTCAGAAAAAAAGACTAAATTGCATACAAAACAATGTAACTTCATGTTTGTCTAAGAAATTAGTCAAAATAAATTATTAAATAATGTGTATTAATATTGACTCTGAAATGTTAAAGGTCTAGTGGTGTCCATCATACAGATACAGAGCACAGACTTTACATAAGTGTCGTAGTCACCGTGACGTCACCCGTTGGTTTGTGGACGTTTTGAAGTCTTGAGTTCAGCATTTTGTCTGTCACAAGAGGGAGGGGCTAATTACAGCTGAACGCTGACCAAAATGTTGGAATTAACTTCCGGGAAGGGAAAACACTCTGAAATGTTTAAAGTTCTAACAAGAACAACTCCCAGACCTGTCAATCACCGTGTAGCCCCGCCCTAAAGCATCCCCTGCTTCATGGTCCGTTTGACTCTAAATGGACCATAATGTACTAAATGAACATCATGCTGTATTGAAGAAGACTTGAAACTAGAGATTGAGACCATAAACTCATGTTTACAATGTTTACTGAGGTAATAAATCAAGAGAGAAGTAGAGTCATTTTCTCATAGACTTCTATACAACCAGAGGAGTCGCCCCCTGCTGGTCAGTAGAGAGAATGCAGCTTTAACACATGAAGCATTGGCTTCACTTTGCAGAACCGGAGGTTGCCCCCTGGTTTAGAGGCATTTCTTTTTTCCGTTGACTTTTAAAATTCACCTCCAGACTGATATCTTGAAACTATGACAAATAAATCCAAAGCTATGGTCTTTGTAGTTCAGGTGAACGGACCCTTGTGTCGTGTAAATTCCGACCAGTTGGAATGCCTCTCTGTAGTTTCCATACTCCTCCATCAGGTGATTGAGGTTATCTCTGAGACTGACGTCTCCTTCCGTGTGTCCACAGGCTGCGAGTACGAGGAGCTGAGCGCCGCCATGTTGGAGGCGGTTCCTCTCAGCGTACGCTCCAACGTCAAGCTGGCTGACCTCAATGTGTTCTACCAGCAGCTGCAGCAGCACCTCGGCAAAGACGGGTAGGAGAGCAACTACGACCACTATTCTATATGTCTATGCACAACATGTTAATATTTACGCTGGTTATCTCTCCACGTCCTTTTCAAACGATAAACAACCCAACAGTCCTTTATAAACAATGAGCAGAAAGATTAGGGACGTCTTGCTACATCATTTGACCGACGGGTGTCCTCTCGTCCTCTACAGTGGCTCCCTCAGCGAGCAGAAGATGAAGCAGTTGAAGATGAAGGGGAGCGATGCCAAGCTGAAGGTACTGCAGCACCTCTCGTTGGTGGAGTTGGACAGGAAGGGCCACGTTCGCCTCGTCGTGTGACGAGAATCCTCAACCGGAGACTGCTGTGGTGGGGGGGACATCGTCGCTGGGCGGGGCTCCACCCGTCCCACCTGGAGGATTGTTGTTACTGACGTCATCTTCTCTCCTAGAGCTGACACACGTGACTCTAAAACTTAAGTCATTAATTTGAGTTGTGATAAATGCATGGACGTCCAGTGGTGTCAGCTGTTGATAAATGTCTGAATACGAGGGATATTGATATTCCTGTACTGTACTGTCTGATTGTATCAATCAGACAATGTTTCTGTGACTAAGATGGAACCCAGAGGAGCGTAATTTAATGGACTAACAGTCACCTTCACATTTCCCACTATTCTGTGTTTGGGTGCGTGAACTGAAATGGAGAATGTTTGTTGATGTTTCCTCTGAGGAGAGGACAGAGGGGGTCCGAGGGCGGTCCGAGGTTTTTTCAGTGGATTGTTGTAAAACCAGACGGTGTCTTTGTGTATATGATTTTTATTTCCTGAAACAGAGAAAATGTTAAATAAATGTGGGAAACCCGATGACTCGATGGGGACTTCTTTTCTACCGACATCAAAAAGATTTTCTGAACAATTCTTTAAACAATACAAATGATTCCAGCTCTGACTTCAAACATGGAGAAGTCAGTTCATTTACAGCATCGACAGCTGTTAGAGTAACAAACGTTCCAGAACAACAAACCTTGCTTAATAACAACAGCAAACCACTAACTGGAAAAAACTTAACAGGTAACGTAACAAATGCAGGTAACGGCAGGTTTCCCTTGTTGATCTGGCTCATGGGGAGTTTGGTCCTGCTCCAACAGAATCCTCCTGTATTCACAAACGTACATGAACTCTCAGTTTGACTTCTCAAGTGGATCATTTCAATCATTACTGGCGTCAAACATACAGAGCCCAGGTGTTTCACAAGCATGCTGTGTGTGAGCTCACCAGTGGAGGATGTGTTTCAGGCGGTGGCTGCGTCACCAGTGGAGCTGACGGTGTGTGCTGGGTGTCCTTTATTGTCACCACGCTGCCCTTCAAACAGCTCAACCCTAAACACCAGATGCACTATATTACTAGATTTATTTTTATATGTTTCTGGCAGAGAACATAATTAACTGCATGATTTTCTTTGATGTCTTTAACCTGCAAAACAAACGGTTAGTATATGCATTGAAATTGCATTTGAAATGTTAACTCTTAGCAGCACTTGACACTCACAGTGTGCGGACCCCTGGGCTCCTTCCGGTGCCCTCCATTCCAAACGCCAGCAGCACGTCGTCTAGTGTCGAGTGGGCTCTGAAAAAGGAGAACACGCACTGACGGTAGTTGCATCGCCATGACTCAGCGACAGCCTTCGACTCTGCAGCTGTAATCCTGGAACGTTTGTGTTGATGAGGTCATTGACATCATTGAGCCTGCTGTCCCCCACCTGTTGGTGTCCTCCAGTAAACTGGGACTTTGCTGGGACCCTGGAGACACCCTGAGCTCTTCCTTCTGATCTGCAGTCACTGTGTCGACAACGAGCTCGTCTGAGTGGACAAACCGATCCAAGACTGTTGGAATTATTGTAAGTCATCACACTGCAATACTGCTCCCAATCAAACTACAGGTCGTGGAGTATCTGTCACACCGTCATGTCTGTTTACCAATCTTAACCAAGGCGTCGTCTGCTGTTTCTTCAGCGCTGCCAAATGTAGTTTCCTCCCTCCTGTCATCAATACCATCCTCTTCCTCCCCCTCTGACCCCACATCTTTAAAACAAATTCGAAAGCATAAAGCATCTATCCAGTGGTGACAGGGATTTATGAATTTGACATTATAGAGTTGATAATGAACCCATAAATATACTTGGTTTCCATGTTAGGATTTTCATTCCATCAGACCCAGTTTTTGATGGTCTGTTGGTTCTCACCGCTCTGCTGGTCGCACCAGGCATGCTGCTCCTCTTCCTCAACATGCTTGCCTCCCTCCTCTTCCATGTTTTCTCCTCCCGTCTGTAATTCTCTCTGCATTTCCTCGAGCTCCTCTTGTGCACTGTCCTCGTCCTCTTCCTCCACATACACCCTCCGATGACTTTGACTGCTTCCGTCCTTCCCCTCTTCACTCTGCTCCTGTTCGGATGCTCCCTCCATCTCTCCTTCCTCTTCCTCGTCCTCCTCTCTTTCCTCGGCGCTGCAGCCTCTGTGGAGTGTGAAGCTGTGGGATCCAGTGTCTGACAGCTCTTCTTCATGGATGGCTGTGATGAAGCCCTCTGGACTGCTGGAAGAGTCTACCTTGAAAGGGGGAGACTGAAAACATGGACAGATAACAGCGCACATGCAAATGTGACGGACATGCAGTGTAGGCTGTTGTAGCTAGACCTCTGACACAGTTATTCTGAATACAAAAGCAAACTGCCAAAGTATGAACATGCTGATGAGGGGGTGCTGGTTGGTCTAATGCAGACGAGTGACACACTTAATCATTTTAATAAAAGGAAAACTGAGGATGTTTTGATGAATGATCAGCCTGCTGAAACAGTCCAGGACTTTTAAATACTTGCACTTTAAGTTTTACAGCCAATACAGAAAACACTCTTTAAAAAAAGAAGCTTGTATCTGATCAGGAAATTGGATTCATACGATATGAGCAAGAATATTTTAGTGTATTAACTTTCGATATGTGTATGGCCAGCTGTGATCATTATTAAAAGGAGGCAAGTTGACACTAAGCCCCCCCCCCCCGACACACACACACACACACTGGTGAAGGAGATGACTCACCTTCACTGAGCGGTCTCTTGGTGTGGTGAAGCTCTGAGTCCTGCAGACAGGGGATTCTGGGAGATTGGCCTCTCTAACGCCTGTCATCACACGCCGGCGTACGTCTGTCAAAACACAACACGAGCAGCAGCTATGACACTTGTGTTCTCCTTTACTGGAGGTTTATTTTTATATTTGTCCATCAGTGCGTTAGTCGCTGTAAGCTGACCTCTTCACTCGTGTGCATCCCTTTAAAATAGTTGGTCTGATGTCCTCAGTGGACAAAAATGTCCTTAAAACTGCCGTAAAAAACTATGTATTGATTCTATTTTCCATTTTCCCTGAGTCACAGTTTTGAACCAACATCAGTCCTGATTACTACCAAATATTCATTAATTTACATAATTCCGTTGTTTTTTATGAATAACGCAACTATTTAATTCTCTAAATGCTAATGGGGATTTTTATTTTTCACAGTCTGGGATATGTCAACAATTAGCAACAACATTGGGGCATTGGGAGTGGAAACCAGGTATCATGTTTCTCCACGTATGGCAAACATGAGAAAAAGATGAAATCTGGTAGAAAATACTAAAAACCACAATTTAGAAGCCAAAATGTCCCTAGTGATGCGGGCTAAATGTCATGTATACAAGAAGCATTGATAACAACCCTACAGCATAGTGCAATGTGATAACCAGGTGAAAGGGCCACAGCCCTGCATTCCTTAGGTGTATTTAAATCTTCTAGAGATCAGTCTCCACCTGGTATTAATATTATATTATTAGTCGGTCTTGGGGGAACAGCTTAAACATCCATGGTGACAGCACCCAATTGAAATAGTTGCACTGTGTGCTGTGTTACCTGGGCTGCGTGGGGTACTATAACAGGGCGGGGCTGTTCTGCTCCCAGAGACACCGTGGAGCTTCTTCAGAGGCTGAGCTGGAGAGTCTGTGATGCTGGAGAGTTCAGCCAGCAGAGCCCTGCGCAAGCACGCACGCACACACACACACACACACACACACACACACACACACACACACACACAAACAGAAAGATCAGCCTTTAAGGATAAATATTGCTCAGGGATGAAGCGTATAACCCTCACACACTATAATGTAGTTGAAAACAGACCCCTAGCTTCAACCTCGGGGTGTCCACAGGAGAAGTTATAGTTGACAAATACAACATACATATATCTGTCTTCAATTTCATTATATTCTGTTCTGAATCATTTATTAAATGTATTGTATATGGAAACATAAAGCCTATAGACACATGGAGGTCTCTTCCTTAACTCAACTCTCCAGGTGTCTCATACACTCTGTGTGGTGCGTCTACATATTGCTAACCGATGCTGCTAGCTCACCTAGCACCACTGAGCTAGCTAACGTCACAGCTTAGCCAAGGAGGAGACAAATACTGTCTACATCTTGCGCTGTCACGAGCATGAGCTTCACGTCCATGAGCAGATGCTGCCACATTTCGGTGGAATTGAAAGAAAATAGTTCCTACATGAAACTGCTCACAACAAGGTCTGTGGGTCATCTTGAGTAACCCGGGTCATCATCTCTGGAAAGAGAAACCGAGTGCCGTATAGTCCCATTAAATCAACTGTCCCTTTTAAATTCTGCATGTTTTATCCCTCTGGGTAAACTTGTGTTTGGCTCTATCTGGCAGTACGTGAGCCCTATTATATCCCTCATCCCAGACTCTGCCACCCCACTTTACAGAATGAAGCACACAGGTTCATGTCAGTGTCCTTACATGTCGGCATTGGGTGTATTCTGAGCCTGTGTTCCACTGACATCAGGATCCATTTTCTCATCACTGTTTGAGAAGCTCTTATGTTCTGGTTGGGCAAACAGAGAAACTGAAAGTTACACCGGTTTGCAAACATATTTTTCCCCACACTTCAATGTCAGGAAGTCTCAATGACTTACTGGTATTGTGAGTATCTGGCAGTAGACTCCCTCTAGCTGCTGGCCTGCACACCTCCATCGTAACGTCTGCATTTTCTGCTGAACTGGATGTCTGGAGGAGACGTACAACACTCTGCATTTTGTGTCAACGCAACAAAAGAAAAAAAGAGCGTGAAGAGTGTTGCTGGCTAAAGCCATGTACCTGCTGCTTCTTCTCAGAGTGGATGTTGAGAAGGCTGCTGTCCAGAGCTGATCTGTACTGACTCGGCTCCTCTTCACTGTGATCAGCTCCCACTGGCCGGCTCCCTGTCATGTAGCGACCCAAGGAACGAAAAGCCAGCGGGCAGCCCTCCTCGTACTGCTGCTGCTCGGCTGGGTAGTGCCTCAGCCATAGAGCCAGCTCCTCCTGGCTCAGCAGTTCCCAATCTCTGCTCAGAAGCTGAGCCTCCAGGTTCTTTCCCCAATCATCTCCCCTGTGCGGAAAGAGACTGTACTGCTTCGAAAGCGGTCCAACAGCAGCGCTCACTCCTGAAAGATTTGCAGAGGATGTAGAGAAGGATGAGACGGAGGAGGCACGAGACGAGTTGGTGCAGCGATAGGGGGGAGCATCTCTGAGCCAGTCCGCTTGATCCTCCTCTCTATGTTCCACTGTGTCTAGGCTCCTGTTGGCCTGCTGCAGCAGCTCCCGGGACACTTTGAGGTTCACCGCAATGGTGCTGATCTGCTGATCCATTGGTACTTTCAGGCCATCCAGCTGCTCCTCTATCTCCCTGTCTATGTCCGACTCTTCCTCGTCGCTAACTGAGTCAAACTCACCGAGCAGAGGAAGCATGCCTGCATAAGGGTACAGTTGGTGGAGCGTGGGCTGTCCCTCCGTACGTTCTTCTCTTTCTCTCCCCAGCTCTGGCTTTGCTCCTCTGTACAGCTGTTTGTCCAGGTGGACATGTCTGTCTGCAACGGCGTCGGACTTGATTGTGACTGGTCTGACAGTTCTATAGACGACTGATTTGGACAGAAGAATTTCATAATAAATGTGTGTTGAATTGCATGCCTGAAGCACATGCAGTAAACACATCTACACATTTCCAAACCATTAGCTTTGTAAATGCACATGGCATTACGAGGTAAAGTTACTGTGAGGAACTTTTAACTGGTTATTAAATACTCTCAGTGTATAAGTGATCCTTGAGACCATCAGAGAGAAGATTGGCTCAGGCTGTACTGCTGGGCCTGTGGGAGGGAAGGGAGGCACGGGAGAACCAGAACCAGGACTGCACGTAGCAGACGGTGAGATCCTGCTGCAGTAAAATGAAATGTTTGCTAGATGGAGTCTGGTGCTTGGAAACACTACCGAAAGTTCCTCGCAGTAGCTTTTATCTTTTCCAGTACACATGAGGACCCTACATGTCTGTGTGTTGTGCTCTGTACCGCTCTGTACTGGTTCCCCCACAATGGTCTGCTGTGCTTTGGTCTGGACCTCGGGCCCCAGAGCTTGTTCACACAGCCCACCAGTCATCTGTTCCTCCAGGGAGAACCTCTGCAGCGCACACATACAAACAACTTTATCATGTCAACGCTCATTTTCAGGCCCAGAATGACTTCTCTGGATGCACCTGTGTGCATTCTAGAAATACTAATTTGAAACAGTATGAACATAAACATGACGGTGACATTGCAGAGGCCAAAGCCTATAGAGTGAGGCACACCTTGACGTCCTGCTGTAGGGTGTAGCACAGGCCCTGCAGGCTGCATGTGCGGTCCTGTGGGTGGTGCTGCAGGCCTCTCAGGACCACATCATAGTAAGGCTGTGGAATGCTGCTGTCCACTGCCAGGGCCTGTCCTGCATCCATCGCCTGTTTGATCCAGTCCAGGTCCACGGTGCCCCACGGTTCACTGTCTAAAACAATGTATGAAGCGTTGGAAGAGTGACGTTATTCCATTTGACCAAACTGTCTGTCACCTACTGCAAGCCCTCACACTACAGGAAGTGCTTTCATCTTCAAAAAGCTCACCCTAAGGTAACACAAACACATTGATTCTTATCTTCAGGTGCTTATACAATAAAGAAAAGGATTCATATTCTATTTCATTTCTGCCGATAGATACCGCTCTAAATGCCACACACTGTTCCTTTAGTCCACCACGAAGAGCCGGGATGTGAGCGCTACCTGTGTAGAGTTCCTGGATCAGAGCACACAGACTGTAGATGTCGGCCTGCGTTGTGCAGGGTCGCTGTTTAATGACCTCTGGAGCGGCCCATCTGTGAAGGCTGTGTGGGAGGTCTATGTGTGCGGGGGGTTTGACACATGTACTTTCACTGCTGGACACACACACACAGACACACACACACGCACACACACACACACACACACACACACACACACACACACACACACACGGAACATGATTATAACCAGAAGTGTAATGATACACAGTATATTTACCATTATTGCTAAATATACTCTCCATACGCTACTGTTTAGGAATATTAAACATGTTGACACCAGTTGATCTGCCTAGTTAATGTGTTTCCATTCACGGTACCCACCTTGTCTTTACTGCAGAACAACTATTTGGAACTGATATTAACTGATATGTGTCAAGTACTTGCACTTTACTTGAGTTTTTCCATTTTATGAGGCTTCTACTCCACTACATTTCAGAGGCAAATAGTACTTTTTATTCCACCATATTTATCTGAAAACATCAGTTATAAATGACTGAATATTATTAGATTATACAGATTTAGAATATTAATAGAAAAAGTATGAATCAACTACAACATAATGGTATATTATTATAAGTTAAGGTACCCAGCAGTATAAAGTAATCAAATACTGCCGACTTTTCCCAGCTGAACATTAAAGGTTCATACAGTGTGATTCTGCACCATGAGTCGTCCTTAAGATTTCAGGCCTGCTGGTTTTACAATTTATTTTCCAGTGAAAATATGTGCTTTGTGGTTAGTAGTGCGGAGTCTTGTTGTTGATATATTAGCTTCAAGTTTTCAGAATTGTGTGCATAATTCAAATATTTTGTGTGTGTACAAAGGTAAAAAACTGTAATAAAGCATTTCGCCACAGACATCCACTTCATAATACAGCAAATATATAATTATTTCAATACTTTCATCAGTGGGACATGGGCCCAGTCACTATTGTGTTACCTCCTTCGGCTACAGATAGTGAATTAACAGACATTTATTCAAATGAAAGTGTCCAAGATTGCCATTTTAAGTATGTTTTGAGGTCAAAACTTTTGTACTTTTACTGAAGTGGGATTTTGAATGCAGGACTTTTACTTGTAACAGAGTATTTCTACATTGTGATATTGCTACTTTTACTTAAGTAAAAGATCTGAGTACTTTGTAGTGTCGAGCATCGATTTAAGTAGAGCCCATGGCTGCCAGAAATGATTTAGACAATTATTTACATTATGAGTTACTCATACTGTAAACGGTGTATATTATTTATTTCTACTGACAACAGACCTTTTTTCTTCTTCTATTTTGTCAGATATTAATTTCAAAACTGCTTCATCATGCAGGAAGTTTAATCCGTGCCTCCTACATCAAGCATGCAAAGGTCTGGTGTAGGTCTGGTGAAGGTCTGGTGTAGGTCTGGTGAAG